TTATATGGGCTCTGTTCTGCACCATATGACCCTTCCCTACCCTATTTACCAGATACAACTGTAGCTTATGAGACTTGACATAAAGGACACCAATTCATAGGTTTAATGTAGTCCCACTGGCTTAAAAATATAAGCTGGATCAATTGGATTCCTTTCTTGGGAATTTGGAATTGAAAAACTGAATGACTGTATTAAGGTTATTAAGTATGAAATGTCTGATTTCCTTAAGTATTAACAGTTAATATCTCTGACATTTCACTTTGACACTTATTTTTATTGTAAAGGTACATACTCAGTCTTTCAAATGCACATTTTGGCTTCTGATTATCTTTCACATTTTTTTGTAAAGCAATTTTTGTGAAACCATGGATAAGTCAAAAATTCATGTTATTTTCAAGTATGGTTCTATCGTGGAACCAATGCAGTGCAAACAGCTCAAAATATTAATGAAGTGTTTGGGAAGGATGTGACTAATGAACACATATCATCAATGGCTTGAGAAGTTCCATTCTGGTGATTTTAACCTTGAAAATGAGCCACGTGGGTGACCTGAGACCAAGGTGGATAATTATGAGCTGAACGCACTAGTGGAAGCAAATCCACCTCAACCTACATGCTTGACGCCTTTCTTTGCTGTCACAACATAAAGGTAAACTATTTCTACTAATACACCGTATTTGGATTCTTTTTGACAATTACAAGCATGCAGCACAATGGATGGATAAAGATGAAGTGCTGAAACAGTCCAAAACCGAATATTCATCAAAAAAGGCTAATGGTGTCTTTTTGGTGGTCCAGCGTTACTATTATCCACTACAGCTTCATGAAACCTGGTCACAATCCATTACAGTGGATGTGTATTGCAACAAATTGGATGAAATAAGGATGCATGTGATGAAGTAGCCAAGATTGGTCAATAGAGACAGGCCAATCCTCTTGCAAGACAATGCTCAACCACATGTTGCACAAGCAACACTACGCAAACTACAGAGGGGCTGGACTTGGAAACTCTCTGTCATCCATCATATTTACCAGACCTTGCACCGACTGACTACCACTTCTTATAGGCTTTGGACCACTTCTTGCAAGGAAAAATATTCAATTCTCAACAAGCTGTGGAAAACGCCTTTTGCAATTTTCATTGCCTCTTGTTCTCCAGGCTTCTTTGCTGCTGGCATAAACAAGCTACTGTTAATATGGCAAAACTGTGTGGATAGTTTAGGTGCATACTTTAATTGTACTGCTTCTTGAGATATAATAAACTACAGTTTTGATTCAAAACCAGATATTTCATATTTGATGACCTAATAATAGTGGAACTCAAAGCTGAATGCTCATAATGTAGAGAAAACCTAGAGTTCTGCTTGTAAACTGAGATTATAGGGTTTGGCTGGGGGAGAAAATGGAACAGATGTCATCCAGGAAGTAGTTGCTATGAGGAAGCCTCTGTGGGGCACAACTGTGCTGCAACTCCTGCCTTTGGATTCCTGAGAGACACTTGTTGGAGCCTTTCAACTATGCTCTTCCCTATGCCCTTTCTTGAGCTGGCTTGAATTTCTGTTGCCTGGAACCAAAAGAGCCCTAGCCCAAATCCTCTCCAGCCCTATTAGAGTTGCTTTACTCATGTGCCATGGCAGTAATGAGAATGAATCCATCTGCTGGTGGAAACATAATCAACATAAGGGGAGAACATTCCATAGTATAACCTTTTTCATTGCCAAAAATATAGAGTTGGTGATGGGCAGATCCAAACACTGACTTGGTTCTTGACATCCCGTATCTGATGAGGTTCCTTCAGCAATGAAGATCTTATTTACTGAAATGGGGGTGAGGAATCCAGAATATCAGTTCACAGGGAGGCTAGGCTTTGGACTATATTCCTGGAGGTTGAGGGACTATAGAAGAATCCTCACCTGATTTCTCCCTCACAGCCTTGAGCTCTGGCTACTGCCTAGGAAAGCAGTTGTCAGAGTGAAGTGTAAATTCCCTATATCTATATATCAATTTATCCAGTCATCCACTCTTCCTCCTTCCTCTCTTCATGCAATCTTTCCCCCTTATCTTTCTCATCTACCCTTACTTTCTTCCATATGGACTTTGAGGAATAGTCACTGTAATTTTTAGGAAGTCTACAAATTTCTAAAGATGTTCTTATTCCATATCCTAGGAAATCTTTCAGTTTTAGAATGCATGGTTTTAAGAGCAAATCTGTGGCTTATTTTTCCTCAGATGACAAGAATTGAATTGCAACAGCTAATTCCCTTGCATGGATCATGATTATGGTTTCCATAGAAGCAAACTTAAAAATGGCCACAATTTTTTAAATTCTGATGAGTACAGCAATAAATCTTGTATTCTGCATACATTAGGCCTTAATAATCCAGAAATATAAAAATAGCTTCTGGTTTTTAGTCTAAGGCCATTACAAACAGAAATCAAATAATAATGTTAATAGCTGACATTTCTATAGCCTTTAGTTTGCAAAACACTTTTACATATGATATGAAATATGTGACCTCTGAATAAAGCATTAATTGTATTCAGTGAGAAAGCTGAGTGTTCAGTGAACTAAACAACAGGCTAATGTAGAATGTACTCTTTCAATGTGTTGGGAAAAAAACTTGAGAGGAATAAAAGCTGAATCTCAAACAGATTAAGTACTTGTATTACTTTCATATTGCTGCCCTTAACAATTACTACAAGCTTAGTAGCTTAAAACAACACAAGCTTATTACCTTATTGTTCTGTAGAAGTTGGGTAAAGATCTCACCCAAAATCAAGGTATTGGAAAACTGTGTTCCTTTCTAGAGGCTCTAGGGAAGAATGTATCCTGCTTGTTCAGCATGTTGGCAAAGTTCAGCTCCTTGTGGTTGTAAGACTGGGTCGTCATATTCTTACTAGTTATAACGTGACAGCTGTTTCCAGCTTCTAGAGGATGCTGCAATCCTTAGCTTGTGGCCTCCTTTCTTCATCTTCAAAGTCAGCAAGGTGGGTTGAGTCCTCACTTGGCATCTCTCTGACTCCATCTAGAAAAGATTCTCTACTTTTAAGGACTGATGTGATTAGATGGGGCACACCCACATTATCTACGATAATCTTTCCATCTCAAGGTTGGTAACCTTAATTACATCTGCAGAGTACCTTTTGTCATATAAGTTAACATTCAAAGGTTCTGGAGATCAGGTTGTGGAAATGCTTGGTAAGGGAGCATTATTCTGTCTGTCACAGTGACTAACATCAAATATAAGTTTATTGATTTTGAATCATCAACTCTTTCACTGTAATCTCCCTCTATCCAGCTCTTCCTCTCAAATGGTCTTAAAACAGAAAACTACAATCATAACAAACCATTAGAATGAAGTGTAAGCACAGATGCCCTGAATTTCATAAAAAGGCTAATACATCATTCTGTCATTTTAACTAAAATATGTAGTTTTGTTTTTAGCTTTGAAACATTTTATAGAAGTACCTATCATTTAGTTTAGATGTTAATATTTTAACCATATTCAACTCCCTTTTCTTTTTTAATAATCAAAACATAAAATCTCTCCACCATAACTCCTTCTTGCCTCCCCAGAGGTAATCATTATCATGAAGTCAGCATGCTTTTAAACTATACAGGAATATATATACAGATATACATAAGCAACATAATTTTTGCATTTTAGGATTTTAAGTAGTATACTATCAAACCTTTGGCAACTTACCTTTTTGCGTATTGTTTTGGTATTTAGATGCATGCAGATCATTATAACTATTTCATTGTTTTTGATTATAGGGATATTTTAGTCAGCACAGGCTGCCATTACAAAATGCCACAGACTGGGTAGGTTAAACAACAGACACTTATTTTCTCACAGTTCTGAAGGCCAGAAGTCTGAGATCAGGGTGCCAGCATGGTTAGGTTCTGGTGGGTGGGAGCTCTCCTCCTGGCTTGTAGATGGCCACCTTTTTGCTGTGCCCTCACATGGTGAAGAGAGCAGCTCTCTGGTATCTCTTATAAAGAGAATCTTTTCATATCAGGACCCACCCTTATGACCTCATTTAACCGTATCTACATTTCCTTAAAGGCCCCCATCTCTAAGTAGTCACATTGGGGGTCAGGGCTTCAATGTATAAATTTGAGGGAGACACAATTCAGTCCATAGCAAGGGGTGTTTATGATTTTTTTTATTTTCTCAATGATGCATGTGATGAGATCCTCAGCTTGGGCAAGTAGAAGGGAGGGGCTGGAGAGGAAGGGAGGTGTGTGAGGAAGAATCTGAGTGAAATTATGAACTTACTAAAGAAATGCAGTAAGACTGCTAGGCCCATTTGAGGTTTGTGGTCATGAATTTATAATCAAGTCTGTTCAACTGTGTGGTTTCTCCAGCTTGTTTTTCTGATGTAAGAATACAAAAGCCAAAAATATGAGAGTTCAGGAATGGAGTTTAGTGAAGTAAGGACAGTAGAGGAAAGAGCCAATGTTGTTGAAAGTTTTACAGAATGATTATCATGGTAAGGATAGATAGAGATGAATAGAGAAAGTTGTTTTTCAGATTTTGGAATATTTGCATCACACTTAATGGCTGGGCATCCCAATTTCAAAAATCCAAAATCTGAAATGTTCCAAGGACCATTTCCTTTGTGCATCATGCTGGTACTCAAAATTCTGGATTTTGGAGCATTTTGGATTTTTGAATAAAAGACATTCAGCCTGTATATTAATAATTTATTAAGTTTAAAGAAATGCAGCTAATTTAAATTATTCCTGAGGAATCTATAAACAAAAATTATGATATACACTGTTAAAACCAGAAACATATCATTACTTTCTTGTGACTCACGGTTAATCTGTATTATTTATTTTAAATTAACTGTTAGCAAAATGCAACATGGGGATACTTAAAATTACATTTTATTGACTCTACCAATTATCTGCACAAAATTTATGCAAAAATCTTAAGTATTTTTCTCTATGATCATCTAATAGACACCTCTAATTTTTATAAGCCAACACATTTTCATATATCAATTAATTTTATTAGACTGAAGAAACTATGTGAAATATGGCCAAAAATAATCATCATGCATTTACAAAACAATTGGTATATTATGAAATACTTGCTATTCAGAGTCAACCAATATTTATTGAGCACCTCCTATTTTCCAGGGCCAGAAAGATGTTTGTTACCTTACAGAATTCTCAATCCTTTAAGACAGATAATAGTATTTTCTATTTCACAGATAATAAAACTAAGAATCAAACCAACAAGACCTTGCTCACCACCATAAGCAGTAATGTATTTAATGATACTGACTGCCAATTTTAAGAAAATATATCTATTTTTCAAAGTTGTGTTGTTACCACAAGTCTTCACTTTTACATTTTTCTTAAATTCCTGTAGACATAATCAGTATTTTTATTTATATCACCATCACTTCTCCTTCCTAAGAGAAAACCTTTGTCTCTCTAGGGTCATCATCATTTATAATTCCTTGCTTATAAATTTTAATAAAATATACATAAGTGTATAAATTATTTTGATACTTATTTTGATGCATGCAGATTTTAACTACTGTATGATATTTCATTGTTTTGAATTACAGAAATGTTTTAGTTAGCACAGGCTGCTATTATAAAATAAAATAGACTGGGTAGCTTAAGCAACAGAAACTTATTTTCTCACAGTTCTGGAGTAATACAGTATTCCTCTATTATTCGGGAATTTAAAAATGACACAAGCACATACTTTAAAAGTTACCCCTGTTAAGAAATAAACTATGACTTCTAAAATATACTTACATATATTTAAAATTAACCTCATTAAAATTTTTTGGTTTATAAATATAACTGTATCAACACAAGATGTTAAAAAGCTGAAATGACTATGTATTATAATGTTTAGCCACATATAAGGTACTGAAATACATACTTTTTCAAGTTTGAAGTACCCCTCCTAAGAACTGGGCTAATGGGTGACTGCTTATTTTAGTTTAACTAGAACAAAAGGTATATTTTACTTTATATTACAGATATATAACTATAGCCAAAAGGTCAAACAACACAGAATTCAATAAATATTCAGGATTACCCAATAGTTAATATTATCATATTCTAGCCAACTTCCAGTATTATATATGTATATATTATCTTATAGAAAACTAGTTCTAATAAAAGTATCTTAATAGAAAGGGAACTATAGAGAAATAGACTATTAGAGATCTAGTAAATTCTCTTACAGATTAGGGACTGAGGCTCAGTTTTGATAGGTAATTTGCCTAGGTCATATGCCAGCGGTAAAACCAGGACTGAACCTGACTTCCATTCCAGGCTCTTTTGACTATATCTTTGTTCTCTTGTGTTATGACTATCATTTTTTCACCGTATTTTAAATTTAATTTGGAAAATTATCAAGTAATAAAATTTTTTCTCTTCAGTCCAACAATTATCTGGTTTTTCTAAAAAATGAGTATTACAAGAACAGGATGCAGCTGATAACATTAGACAACTCTCATAGGTTAAGATGCAATCTTTATATAGGAAAAAGTTCACTTTACATGTAATTTGGTGTGGCTGGGAAAAGCTTATTTAACAGTCACAGCTTTAAAACATCTTTATATCATAGTGACTTCATACGTTGTAAAATGATTTTCAATAATCTTCACATTTTCTTCAGAAAGCCAGTTTTCCTGCTTTAGCTGCCTTACAAGAGCTTCCAAAGATTTCAATCTTCCTAGAGTTTGCTGCTCTTGTAGCTCAAGAAGAGTTATCTTTGAATGCAGCTTAGAGACTTTCTGCCAAAGATGTTCCTTATTTACATCTTGTCTGCAGTAAGAATGTTCAATTTGTAAAACTTCTGTTCCATAGTCTACATCCTTATACAAAGAATCATTAATGTCTGTGTCCTCCATTTCCATGGTTTCTTTTCGGGCAGATATAAAAGAATTAACTACAGGTTTAGAATTTTCTGCAGGTACAAAAATGGCAATAATAGATTCTTTATTTGTGTTTAATTCTTCAACTGTTTGGTTAATTGTGCTGAATAAGAATGGCTTTTCCTGTGTTGACTTAATTTCCACTGAATTATTGGTTAAGCTTGGATTAGCAAGATGATTGGTAATTTCAAGCACTTCCTGGGTTTCTAAAGCCTGATGAATACCTTCTGAATTCGAAGTTGTCAAAGTAATAGTTGTAGAATTTAGATTCTCAAAAGATGTGTGAAAACCACTTATACTTATATCTTGGTTAACTGATGTTTCCAAGGTAGATTCTGGTTTGCCTGTATCTTGTTTAACTAGATTAAGAGTTAACATGTTATTTTGTATAATTCCTGTTGTTGGAGCTTGTGGCTTCAACAAACCAGATGAATCAAGCAATTCTGCACGTTCAGGGGGCATATCTGTGTTAACTACATTTTTATTTGCCTCATTTAATGCATGTGATTCTTCTGACTTGGCTTTTAGGCACACTTCTTTCTCATTTTCCAATTTTTTCTTCTGGGGTTTTTTTTTGGAAGGATCTTTTCCCTAGAAAATAATATTTTCAAATTCTGAAAAAGATAGCCTTTACAGGCATTCTCTTATTAGTTAGTGCTGACTACAACTTGGAGCAGTATATTGGGCAAAAAAATGTATTCAACTTAAAAAATGTTCTAAGTCTATAACAAATATACTTTAAAGTGTTTTTAAAAAAGAATTAAACCCATTTGATGAATGACAAACATTTCAGATCATTCAAAAGACCAGTAAAAAACTTATTAACTTATGTTAATAACTTAATAATGTATGTATCTTTTGCTTATCTTGAGCTGTGCTTAAGGATGACTTAAATTTTTAAAAAGTTATCACACCTTCAGTAAAAGCACAAATTAGTTTTCCTTTTTCTCATATATGTTTTCCCAAATTACCATTCCCTTTCACTCTTTTCACCTGATCACCTGCCACCCTGCTCAGCATTACCCATCTCCCCTGCCCCAATACCTGATTGTCTTCAGGCAAAGAAAATATTGTTGGAACTGCAGTTTGTTTTAAATATCGAATACCCCATCTGATGTCAAGAGAGTCAGGAGTAAAATGGTCACTACACAGGAACTGGTATTTACTGGGAACCCATGAATCTCGTTTCATATTCTTTAACCACTTTTCAAGTCTTTCCTTGTCATGTAGAGGAAATCTGAAATTAAAAAAAAAAAAAAGGAAAGAAAAACAAGGGAGAATTTTGCTATATTTTTGCCATATTTCTGGCCTACATATCTAGGTAACCTATGCATTAAGTGCTATAAGAGCAACACATCCATCCCTACCAAATAAAAGCATCATCATAACAACTACTATCATCTCTGCAGTGAAAGAAATAAGATGCAAGATATGTAGCCAAAGCTTTTGTCTGAGAAGAGCTGAACATATCCACAGTGCTTTTAAGTAAAATATGTGTTCTTATAAAGGATAAAAATCTATTCCTATTTTCTATGAATTATGTTCCATTTTTACTTTGTTGTATAGTTTGCCTAGAACAAGGAAAGAACTTTTTGTAAATTACAAATTCCTATCCAAGGTATTTCACACTAATACAAGTCAAATGGTTTATAATTCAAGGTATTGAGCTTTAGGCTCTTACTTATATTAATATTTTTAAAATAAGGAGATGTTATTTCAAACAAATGATTTAGCTGAATAAAATGAACATTCTTATAAAACTAATATTCTATTTTCTTTACTGGCATCAGCCTCATTCTACTCATATGTAATTTAGTCTAATATTACTAGATTTCTACAACCAAGGGACTGAGAACTCCAAAATTCAAGTTATAAAAAAGAAACTTTGATAAAAGAATTAAACATGTTAAAAAGGATGGACTCAGATATTTTATATGAAACAAATCAAATATAAAAGATAAAGGCAAGACAGGTCTCTATACATTTTGTTCCTGTGCCGACAAGAACCTGGATTTAGAGTTGGTGCTAACATATTGCAATGTGTTTTATAGGCAAAACTGGACTAAGGGCAGAATTTGACAGAAAATTTTTGCTACAAAATAGGTTTGGGTTAATGTGTATTAAACACGAGTTGACAGTGGTTTACATTTTGTTTGATAATTTTCCAAGAATGTACTCCAAGACATATACTACATTAACAATTTCCTGGTTTTAAAAAACAGTAAAAAATAAAGTTTATATATAAAATGTAGCTGTTGTATATTCCTTCTCCCTAACCATTTAGTTTAGGCAAGATTTTTCTAAGTTTTGGTAACCTTATAAGATGCTATGGTGAGTTTGGGTACTTTGCTGGAAGTAATTTTTAATCCTGACATCCTTATATGGAAAATCAGATGAACTACCTTTGGAAGTTCTCACCATAGAAACAGTATTAATACATGTTTTGAAAATATTTTAACCTTACACATAACAATAACTTAGGTTTTAAAGACAGGCATAACCAGAAAAGGCATTAATGGCAAAAATAACTTTTTTTAGAAGACCTGAATTCTTCTAGCCATAGGTAACAACAGCATACCTTTTGTTACATCTAAAATGAGAATATGCCTTTTACAATGTTTAAGTAAATTCATGTATAAATATTATTTCCATTACACCTATATGCTAAGTTATCAAATCATTAGTAAAATATACTTTGTGAATATCCTTGATAACTGGATTTCCTCAACAAGTAAATCTCTAAGAAATCTAGACTATGTTTACTGAAAAACTGATTATCTTTATATTGGTTTAAAGTGTTTGATAATTTTATTTCACCGTCTTATGTAATTCTCAATAAAGCATAAGATAATCACAGTATAAACTAGACATTATATGTACACATCAACTGAGTTTCCAAATGCATAAAAATTTATACGATAGCTTGCTATAGTGTTAACAGGAGTAAATTCAATTCTTCAAGTTTGGTGCTATTGGGGAATTTTTAAAACTAAATCAATTTTTATTTTGTGAATTATACATGGAATTTAAAAAACCCATAAAAATAAAAAATTCCACTTTCACTAAATTCCCATTTTGAAAAAAAATCTTTATAACTCACTTAGCACTATTTTCTTCTTTCTTAAAAATATTAACTGTGAGGTTAACAAAAATTAAAAAAAATTTTAGTCTAGGGTTATGCGCCTCCCCCAATATCAAAGGCCAAATAAATCTGGGAAACATGAGACTGTATCAAGTTCAACATATTCTTTTGCTATAAACTTCAGAGCTAGAGCCATTAATATAGTAACATTTCCCTATCAACTAAGGGTAGATTCGATTTTTTCTTCCCCAAATCTCTTTGCATCTTGAGGAAGGGCTTCGGAGGTGACAATCCTGGAAACAATGCCAGGTGGTGTGAATTACTTGGTGTTATCAGGTTTTTTCCATTACTTCAGATACTCATTAGTTTATCATTAGTGAATGAGAGCTTCAGGTCTAAAGTAAAATGAGCTTCACCAAATAATTGGAGAAAATCTGAAGAAAGGAAAAGACAACCAGGTTAGACATAAATGAATTGTTTTTAAATACAAAAAAGTGGAATATTTTAAATATGTTGATTGTCATAGGCTTTTTATATATATTAAATATGTACTACCTGCAAGTGCTGTTTTACCTCTTTACATGTTAAGTGTGAATTAAGTACTACTAATATCTCCACTATACGGGAAGAGAAATCTGACACACCAAGAGCTTAAATAATTTACAGGTTATTCAGCTATAAAGCAGTGCAACCAGGATTTGAATCTAAGAGCCTGGCTTTGGAGCCTGGATTCTTATTTATTATACAATTATAATATAACACTTAATTATTATACAACACTTAATTATTATACAACACTGCTTCCCTGTTCTTCTGAATAAAAATCAGTGCTTCAGTAGCTTCATGGAACTATTTTGTGGCTCTAGTAATTCAAAATAACACTTATCTACCCTGTTTTCTGTACCAATGAAGAGGACAATTTATAATTCTGGCTCTGACACACAACTTTCGAGTTCGGTTACGTAATCTTTCTGGGCCTCGGTTCCCTCAGGATAAAGGTGGGATTATACTCAGGCGACCTAACTCATAAGGAGTGTAAATTAACTTTGAGTGCACCTTCCCACTTCACAGGTTTGATGTACCTTAAATGGTGGTTAACGTTTCAGTGAAATGAGGTCTGGAGAGGCAAGGGGAAAGGCTCTGAAAAGCAGAGCACCGCGCAAACTTAATCGTTTTAACTTCCCTTACAGATCCATACAGGCCCCTATGCCTCGCCACCGGCCCGGCGTCCTCGCTCACGAAGGGCACTGCTAGGTAAACTGAGCTCAAGCCTCCTGTCCTTCTCCTGTGCAGGGACCAACCACGTCTGGAGTGCTGAGGACTAATTTTTAGGGCAGACAGGAGGGAGACACACAAGCCCAAAGGCCACAGGACCGCGGCCCATAGGCTAGGCAGGCGCTTCTGCTCCTGGGGCAACTTACGGGTAAAAACTCAGCTTCCGGTCTTTACTGTTTCGTCCCCGGCGGTTCTTACAGCAAATCGCTGCGCAATAGCGGGGCATTGCTCGGGTGAGGCCCCGGGAGACGGGGGCAGAAAAGAGCGCAGGCCAGCCCTCTTCACTGAGGCGGAGCCCCGGGTCCAGGCCGCCTGATCCACCGCGCCTGCGCCGGAAGCTGCCCGGGGGAAAAGCAGCCGCCACCCTCCACTCACTTCCGCCTCCCCTCCACGGCCCCGCCTTTTCGAGGGTTGGGGCCAGAAGTGACGCTCGGGCTGAGCGGCCACAACAGTTTTCCACGTGCGCGTAGGGCGCGAGAGTCATGTGGGGAGGCGAGAGCCAATGAGGAAGCGTTTCGTGTAGGTCTTCTCCTGAGGTGGTGGTTCCTGCGGAGGCCTCCCGCCAGAAGGGAGCGGGCTGAGGGAGTCAGCGGCGGCCGCGGGAGCGCGAGGTCCGTGTGCTAGCGGCAGCGGGGCGCGCGCCAGCTCCGGGAGGCCGGGGTGAGGGGCCGAGCCCGAGCAGCCGAACCAAGCCGGTCGTCAGCGTCGCCGGCGCCTCCGCTCTGTGGAGAAGCCCCGGCAGCCTGAGGGTGCGGGTGAGGGACGAGGCCGGGGTCGCGGGGAGGGGAGTTCGGAGCGTCCCGGGAGCCCAGGCCTGCCTTTGTTGGCCTACTCGGCCTAGGTGTCCGCCACAGTGGCTTCGAGCTGCTTGTTCTTCGAGGGAATAGAAGGAAGGAATTGCCGAGCCACTGAAGAGCGCGCTTTGTGCTTTGGGTAGTGCCGCTGGCTTTCTCGGGCATCGGACAGCTCCTCCTAGGACTGGACGCCGGGCCGCGAGGAGCCCCGTCGGCGGGGCCGGGACGGACAAGGGCGTGTGCCTGTCGCCGCGGGGTTGAGGGTGGACGGTCCGACCCAGCCGGTCACCGGCGCTGGGGAGTGAGGCCCAGCCTGCTGACCGGCGGGTTTGTCTTGGGAAGGAGAAGTCAGCGTCATACCAAAGTTAGTTTGCTAAGGAAAGGGTCAGATGTTCCCTTGAAACGGTGGGATAACGCTCATTAAGCCAGAAAGGTGCCTCTGTCAGTTTTACATTCGCCCTTTGACTAGGGAGCAACCTGCAGTCCAGGCAGCGTCCACAGGATACCCTCCGTTTGTTTGTCTTCTTTAAACCAGGAGGTTGTACTTGAGCTTTGGTACCCGTGACTGTGAGTAACTCTGTGGAAAGAAGTGATCCACCTGCTAATTACGCTCAGGAAAGGCGGCGGGAGGGGAAGGCAGGCAGTTTCCACAAGCCGCAGTGTCTTTCGTCAGCCTTGTTATGTCATTATAGGTTATTAAGGACTCCTGTGTACACTATTCAAAAAACAGGATCACTTCGTTTTGACTCTTGAGTCATTAAACACATATTGTCAGGCATTCTAAGTGAAAACTTCTTCAATGGTTTAAAAGTCAGAGAAATATTTTAACTACTGAGAAGTTTGAAAGTAAGAATCTAACTTGTCTAGACTAGTACAAACTATCAAAGTTCACTTTTCTGGCGGCCTTAGCAGAAATCTTAAATTCTGTTAATTATGAGTTTTAAACAGAACGTATTTATCCATGGTTCTTTGTTAAACATTTGAGATCTTATATTTTTTAAAAATACGTTCTATTGGCCCGGCACCGTGGCTCACGCTTGTAACCCTAGCACCCTGGGAGGCCGAGGCAGGCGGATTGCTGGAGGTCAGGAGTTTGAGACCAGTCTGAGGAAGAGAAGACCCTGTCTCTACTATAAATAGAAAGAAATTAATTGGCCAACTAATATATATATAGAAAAAATTAGCCGGGCGTGGTGGCGTATGTCTGTAGTCCCAGGTACTCAGGAGGCTGAGGCAGAAGGATCGCTTGAGCCCAGGAGTTTGAGGTTGCTGTGAGCTAGGCTGATGCCAGGGCACTCACTCTAGCCTGGGCAACAAAGTGAGACTCTGTCTCAAAGACAAAAAAAAAAAAAAAAAACAACGTTCTATTGTCAGTATCATGATATTAAGTTCTCTATTTGCAGCCCTTGGCTCACCTTGCTGAAATGACAGCTGAATTGGTGCTTTTTTAGGGAGAGAAGATTACTACTAATTAGACTTACTGAACTATTTACCTTGGTAATGCCCTCCTTTTTTTTTCTGGGAAGTTAAATAAAGGAAGATTGGGATCCTTTAAAATATTATTTGAGTCCTTCCCCTCCCTCCCCTTTTTTTAACAATGCTTGCTTATGATGAGTCTTCAATATTATAAAAATCAGTTACTGAAAAATTTGTCTTCTCTGTGTATGGCCAGGGTATTAGTGGAAAGGCAAAGCCAAAAAAAGATTTTTCTCAATTTGGTTGAGTTCTATTAATATTTGCTCTCAACAAGGTCAAGCCAATTTGGGAGTTATAAAATTTGCATAAATGAAATAATATGTGAACAGGTACAAGATAAACTGTATGCTTAACAATTTGATACTGCATTAGGTTTACCTTATATTCCAAAGATTCATTGGGTTTCTTTTAAAAGAAAAAAGTCTTAGATTAGCTCATAAATAAAATTTTTTTCTTTTCTTTTTTAGGTTATTAGAAATGGCTACTCCCCAGTCAGTTTTCATCTTCGCAATCTACATTTTAATGATAACAGAATTAATTCTGGCCTCAAAAAGCTATTATGATATCTTAGGTGTGCCAAAATCAGCATCAGAGCGCCAAATCAAGAAGGCCTTTCACAAGTTGGCCATGAAGTACCACCCTGACAAAAATAAGAGCCCTGATGCTGAAGCAAAATTCAGAGAGATTGCAGAAGGTAAATAAATGACTACCTCTGAGGTCTCATGGGTATTAACTAATAAGGAGAATGATAGCTAAGAAGTGTGTATGTATTTGAAGGTTTTGTGAAGATGGGTGGGGGAGTGGGATTTATGTATAAGTAGAGAGATTCTCTGAGATTATATTTTTCTGACATACTTTGATTCATTCCTCAGTGAATGTACAAAGGATAGTAGATGGTATACAGATCTAAAAATCTATTATTTCACTCTACTATTATAAAATCACTGTTGCTTCTGTGACAAAAGGAGTTTTAGCTACTTCTAATTCTTAACTAATTTATGAAACACAGTATTTTACTATATACATTAAATATAAAAAAATTAAAATAGTCTCTAAAATGCCTTATTTTCTTCTTCACTTGATGTATGTTTCAAAGCCATATTTGTTTTTAAAGAAAAAGTTGAAGCAAGTTCTGACTTAAGATGAGTTCTAAAACAGATTGCACCTCCTGTGCATTCAGTAATTATTGGTGGGTAGAGGTAACAGTACGGAATTAGAATTAAACATTTACTTCTAGTAAGGAAGTAGAAAAAAAATCTTAATTCTTATTAATTGGTTATATTTGACTGTTTAATACTTTGATACAAGTAATGGTTTCACACACATAATATGAAGATTAAAGAACTCCATAATTATTGCCCACATGTTTATGTGGTACCATTCATTTAATAAATATTTGTTGGATATTTACTAGAGGTAACATTGTGATAACTGCTGATACAGCAGTGAATCAGACAAAAAGTCTATGCCTTGTTTTACAACTTGTCATTTTTAACTTAATGCTTATGTTTGTAATGTTTTGGTTTACTGTGATTTGAAATTCTTCCCTAAAATAATAGTTGAATTCACTTCTTTGAAGAGATTTGAATATATGTAATTTTGAATATTTTACCTTCAGTTACTACAGTATTTTTGTCTCTTTCAGCATATGAAACACTCTCAGATGCTAATAGGCGAAAAGAGTATGATACACTTGGACATAGTGCTTTTACTAATGGTAAAGGACAAAGAGGTAGTGGAAGTCCTTTTGAGCAATCATTTAACTTTAATTTTGATGACTTATTTAAAGACTTTGGCTTTTTTGGTGAAAACCAAAACACTCGGTCCAAGAAGCATTTCGAAAATCATTTCCAGACACGCCAGGATGGTTCCAGTAGACAAAGGCATCATTTCCAGGAGTTTTCTTTTGGAGGTGGACTGTTTGATGACATGTTTGAAGATATGGAGAAAATGTTTTCTTTCAGTGGTTTTGACACCACCAATCGGCACACAGTACAGACTGAAAATAGATTCCATGGATCTAGCAAGCACTGCAGGACTGTCACTCAACGAAGAGGAAATATGGTTACTACATACACTGACTGTTCAGGACAGTAATTCCATTTTTTTCTCTGTTCTCAGTAAACGCAACTAGTTGACCCTTAATATCTTTGATGCAAAACAATTTTCTGTGAACTATTTTGACAAGTGCATGATTTCACTTTAAACAACTTGACATAGCTATTAAATATATTTAAGTTGTTTTTAACAAATTCAGCAACATTCAACTAGTAGGCAAAATGCTAAATTATTAATTTCCCTGATTAGGAAAGATTCTTTAAAAAAAAGATGTAGTTCTGCCTAGTCCTTTTTCTCTATGTGCCCTTGAGCTCACTAATGTGGCTAGTTTTATTACCAAGAACAGATTGCGTTTGCCTGATATATATTTAAAGATTAAAACTTTAAAAAGTTATTGTAGACTTAAATTGTGTGAACTTGAATGATTTTTGCAGTGAAACCTTTACTAATGTAAAATTGCATGCTCTGTAGCAGCTGTGACTTGGGTTGCTAAATGTACATGAAACTGTAATTGAGTTATTCAGCAAAGGAGAACAGTATCTTGGTTAATTGCCACTGAAAGCTTTAGAAAGGGATGGTTTGATATTTAACACAGAACCATACTTTTCTACAGTGAAATTGGGGTAAAAAATGATTTTATTGCTTAGAGTCTTTTGGGCTGGAAAAAAGTTGAAAACTTATGAAATATTGCCAAGAGATTGTTATGTGTTTGGTCCCTGGCTAAAAATAATTTTGTAGTGTTGAAATCATAGCTACTTATACATCTTTCACATTTCTTTCTTAGTTGTTGGCACTCTAGGTTTTACCATGGGTTGTTTTTTTTTTTTTTGTGTGTGTGTGTGTAGTTCCTCTTTGTACTTACCTTTATCTAGAGATTGACTAATACCTCATTCTGTTTGTAAAACCAGCCAGTAATTTCTGTGCAACCTTATTATGTGCAATATTTTTAAATCCTAAGAAATGTGTGCTTTTGTTTTCAGATAGACTTAATTTTCTTTAGTTCTGCACCTTTCCACATTATACTCCGTACGAGTATTAATCCTATGGATACATATTAAAACTAGTAAATGTCTCATACAACATTGTATGTGAGAGGAATATAAATATTTACAACCTGATATTCTTTGTCGTCATTTTTTTATTAAAAGTTTATTAAGCAGCTCTGGAGGCATGGAGGGTATATAAGCAATGGGGCTATGTTGATCAAAGGCCATATTCCTGGAGTTACTTTCAACTAAACTGAAAACCCTGATAGGATCTTGTTTGAGTACCATTTGGTAATTTCTGTTGCTTTCATAACATCCTCCTCCTCTCACAAATTTTGGTAACTTGAAGATTTTGTTATGATTTTGTTGTATTTGCTTGCCAAGAGTGAGTTGTTCATGCCATCAGTAAGTTCTTACCCTTTTCGGGCCAGGTTGGGAAAAAGACACTTTGCATAAAGATGTATTTGTTATTCATCTTTAATTTGAAAATTTAAGAAAATGAATTTATTATATTTATGTACCCTACTTATTTCCAAAAGTTATACCTACTAGTTAGTTTTGTTTGATAATGAAATAGCCATATCTTGAATTTTGGGCTGAGGATTATCTAGAACATATTATTACAAATGAGGCCAAAGAAAAAAAAAGGTCTCATTTTCAAATAAGGATTAAGGATGCATTTTTTTGTTAGCATGTGTCTCCTTTTTTCCCAGGGCCTGGTAATCTTGTTTTCCCCGTTGTGAACATTTATTTTGATCTTTTCTAACCTTCATTTTGGCTATTGCACATAAATTTTGCAAGGCAAAATGGACTCTGAATCATTCAAACTTAAGATACCAACTACATATATAGGTAATCTATAGGGTTGTGTGTGTGAGGAGTTTGATGTAAGCAATTGGAAATTAGACTAGTAATATAAAAGTTTCCTCAATAAGTTAAATTTTTTCTTCTTTATGGTTTGTACAGATTGTACAAAGAAAATGGGAAACTTCTGTAATTGAAGAAATGAAAAATAAAATAGGTTAATCTTTACCTCCTACACAAGTGACCACCTATGAAATCTATCAAAGTGGTTTTATTTTTCCTTCTGGGTAAACTAGTAATTTTCATATTGTGATTTCTAATCATTTTCTTGAACTAAGTTCTCTAGATATTCCTGGGCTGAATATATCTTGAATTGGATGCAATCAGTATGTAGTAGGCATGTGATGAGATTAGTTCCATGAGAATTCAGATCACCCAAGGTCAATTAAGAATTTGTACATTCCTGGGGTAGTTATTTAAATTTTGGCAATAGATTTTTGTTGAACACACTAGATGAAAGTGAGATCATTGCCAAACAGAATAAAGAGAAGACTGGTACCAGCAGTAGGTCTCTAAAGTTTTTATATTTTTTATGTTAATGCTAGCACCTTCAGTTCCAGATGACAGGTTGAATATAGTCATGATTGTTTTTCTCCCTCTTGATCCCAATGAAATGACAAAATATAAGAATGAAAGCATAAAATTGCTGGAAAACAGCAACCAGAAGTTTTGAGACAATTTCAGGAATGAATAAAGCAGAAGAATTGGGATTAGAAGAGAAATCAGAAAAACCACAATGTGTCCTGGAGAAGCTTTAAGTATCAGAACTGGGTGAGGGTGTTGAGGAAAAGGCCAGAGTTCAAGTACGTTAATTAATTGAAGGACTGCATTGGAAACCCCTGCTCTTTGTCTTCCCTCCAGTTAAACAGTAGTCAGAAGTATAATAGTTTTTGCCTCAGGCTAGGGACTAAGAACTGCTCTTGAAAGAAAGGGATTATTTTGAGAAAGGCTTCCCAGTCAAGAGTTTTAGGGTGTGATATGAAAGCAGTGTAGAGACCAAGTGAAGTTTCACCTGGGGGTGAAGAGAGTGCTGGTGAAAAATGCACTCCATTCTCAGAGTAAAGCCATATCTTCTGCATGCTGGGCACATAGTCAATCTATGGGCACTTGCTGGTTAAGAAGCTCTGACAACCTACCCAGAACCAAAGTTATTATTCAAAAAGCAGATCTAATGCAGACATAGAATTGCTGAGGAAACTTCTTTTTCAGCTATCTGTGCAATATGATGTAGTCTTATGTACAGATGTCCAAAGAATATCAGACATTTAAGGAAAACTAACAGCAGGGAAAAGAAGCAACAGCCAACAACAAACACTGACGGAAAGAAATGTAATTCAGGGATTGAAAGATAATTTAAAATTCTAGTATTATCAGATTTATGATAGAATATTGCATCAATAAATCAGGCATAGGTTCTTGTCTTAACCCACTTACTTGGAAATTTTGTTCCATGTAATGATAGTATCAGAATAGATGAAGTAATATGACTTCACATGTAGTTTACATTTACATCAGCTATGACCAGTCAATGGGAGATAGCGGACTTACAGTCTATATGTTCCCTACCATGCAGGCCTTCTTTGTCCTACAAAACTCATATTCTTCCTCTTATCTCAATTTTGACACTCAACTCCCTCCCCAGCTTCTCTGCAGACCTTGCCCTAAGGTGGAGCTACCTAGATAATTTATTGTGCAGTTCTATTTGTAGTAATTCATTATAATATACTATAAGGGGTGAGGAGGGTGGTGGGGGTGATTACATTCTTGTGGAAGGAAATAAGCACAAATTATATGAATAAATTACTATGTACGTTCATTAAAGTATAGGAAAAAATGTGTAGCACAGGGGAGGAGAATTGGGAGGGCTGCTAGGATGTGTTGCAATTTTCAATAGGCGTGTCTATAAGCCTCACAGTTTGTGTAGAGACTTGAAGGGATTTATTTGTATGGAAGGTAGAAGCATTTGGGATAAGTTCTGGGAACAAAGAAGCCAGTATAGCTGGAGGCCAGTAAGCAAACCATAGTAGTGAGAGGTGAGTTCATAAAGGTAAGGGGGGTTTGGAGCAGCCCTACAGATCATGTAGGACCTTGCCAATCTTTGTAAAAGATTTGCTTTTGGAATGTGATGTGATGGCTGAGTTTTGAGTAAATAACTGACTTGATCTTTTAAACATTTACAAAGGATCACTGTAACTGCTGTGTTGATGATAATAGACTACAGAGGGGCAATAGTGGAATAGGGAGACCAGTTTGGAAGCTATTTCAATATTCTAGGATGAGAAAGTGTTGCAGCCAATGCACCACGCCAGGGTAGTAGTGGAAAAGGTGGGAAGTGGTTGGATGCCAGATGTATTCTGCAAGTAAAGTGGCCAGGATCTGTTTATGGATTAAATGTAGACATGAAAGAGGAGAAAAGTATGATTCTATGTTTCATGTTCTAAGTAACTAGAAAGATAGAGTTGCTTTTAACTACGATGGAGAAGGCTGCAGTAAGAAGACATTTTTTTAGAGGGAAAATCAGAAGTTTGATTTGGACCTACTGGATTTGAAATAATGAGTTAGATGGGTGGAGATGTGTCTGGAGTTTGGGAGAGAGAGCTAAGCTGGAAATGTACATTTTGGAATTGTCAAAATATAGGTGCTGTTTAAAACTTTGAGGCTAGATAAAAATCACTAGGGGAATGTATATAGATATAAAAAGAAGCAAAGAACTGAGCCCCCAGTTACTCTAAAATTAAAAATACAAGGAGAAAATGAGGAACCTACAAGGTAACTGAGAAGAAGCAGCCACAGAGTTAAAAGTTTTGTGTCTTGGAAGAAAGTAAAAAAGTATATCAAGAAATACAAAGTGATGAACCTTGTAAAATGCTACTACCAAATCCAGCAAGATGATGACTGAGAAGAGACCATTTTTTTTTTTTTTTTTAGCAATACAGGTGTCAAAAATGACCTTGACAAGACCAATTTCTATCAAGTGGTAAGTGTATGCTTGATTGGAGCAGGTTTAAAACAGAATAGTAGTAAAATTAAGTGCTCTTAAAGAAATTATTTGAATAAGAATTTATAGTGAAAACATTTCTGGATAGAATTTTTAACATGGACATTTTAATAGAGTTTAAGTTATGGTTTCATCCATGTAGCAACAGCTTATTCTTTAGAATGATATTCTACAGGAATAAGCATGCTATGAAAAAAATTATGTTTAAATAAATTTCTGAAAGTTGGATTGGGAGTTAAACCTTGTGAAATATGTTTCTTTATAGGTGGGTGCTATAGTCTGAATGTTTATGTCCCTCCACCAATTTGTATGTTGAAATTTTCACTCCCAAGGTGATGGTATTAGGAGGTGAGGCCTTTGGGTTGTGATTAGGTCATGGGGCACAGCTCTCATGAATGGGATTGGTACCCTTATAAAAGAGGCCCAAGGGAGACCATTCTCTGTTCTCCTAACCATGTCAGGTTAGAATGAGAAGATCTATGAGGAGGAGGCCTGTCACTAGACAGTGAATATGCTAATGCCTTGATCTTGGACTTCTCAGACTACAAAACAGTGAGAAATAAATTTGTTTTTTATAAGCCACCCAGTCTATGGTATTTTGTTATAGGAATCTAAATGGACCAAGACAATGGGCTTCTCGGAGCTCTCAGTATAGTAATTTATATTGTGAATCTTTGGTAGAGATGCCAAGTATTGTTTACCAAACTTATTGGACCATGGAAACATTTTTACTAAGTACTCTTAACCATATCTAAATGTACTCTTAACCATATCTAAATGGTAAAAGCTTGGTAAATACTGGCCTAAATAAAACTGAGTAAAATATACTTACTATTTAATAAATTTTTGGAGCATATACATGAACACATATCAAAGCAAGGATGATAGCATATATTATGCTGATATTTGTGTTGCCATTATAAAAGAATATGTCTTTTAATGAACTATGATTGAAAAAGATTATACCATCAGAGCCCATTATGATTTCCCTTAGTCTAGCCTCTATTTCATTAATATGCTTTTCTTCTTCTGATGACTGCTCTAGCTACTTGAATAACATTGTTTCTTCAGGACTATTTGACACCTACAATAGCCATCATCAAGCAATTATGAGAGGATAATTTATGTAAATGAAAACTCCTTTATTCTCCCAAGAAAATAAAAGCTAGTTATTGTTACAAAAGTGTATTTTAAAAACAAGAAAGTATTTGAGGACAGAAGAATCAGGCCATGAATATTAAGATAAAGAACAAATCACTCTTATAGTCTG